ATATTCCTGTAAATTTAAATAAATAATACTTAGTAAAATATGAAAGTTACGAATTCAAAGAAATAATACCTGCATGGTTTCTTTTCTTGTAGTACCACTGTTGAATAGAGGCTCGAAAAAACTCCATTAACATAGTAATGGGTAATTTCCAAGAATGACGACTTAGAGCGTTGATTGATTCTGCACTATTAGACGTCATGAAACCATATCTTGCTCCAAGTTGATGTACTCTTGACCATCTTTCAAACCCGACATCTTCTAGTGTTTGAGCACACTGAGGCAAAACACGTCTTAAACAGTTTATATACTTATTGAAATCCACTTCCCGATAAGCTTTTACAGCCTTCCAGTATGTCCATTTGTGTTTTTTTATACCATCAGATACAAATGAACACCACAAAGTCCATGAAAAGCATATGGGAAACACCTTCTAACAGCGTTGTCAATTGAGTTTGCCCTATCGGATATGATTGTCAGATTGCTAATAGGACCTATGTAATCCCTAAGATGCCCCATAAACCATGTCCATGAATCAGAGGTTTCAGATTTACCAACCCCGTAAGCTATTGGCAATATCCCATTGTTAGCATCCATGGCTACTGCTAATAAGTTTACTTCAAGGTATCGACCTTTCAAATGTGCTCCGTCAACTATAATAACTGGGCGCATGCAAGTAATAAACGAACGAATCTAGAAAATAATATAAACAAGAAATATAATCATTTAAATGTGAAATGCATGTAACTAATAAAAATGAGTTAACAAAATTATATTGATTTACTAACCGCAGCACCAATGGCGATAAACAACAACTCAAAGTGTCCATCTCTATCTGTTTTGATATGAGTTACCGACCCAGGATTTTTTAGCTTTAAATTGTGACAATAAGCCGACAGTTGGGCAAACGATGCTTCTGGCGACCCCTCAACAATTCCAAGGCATAACATTTGGCTCTCCAAGCTTGAGAATATGATATACTAATCTTGAACCGAGCATTCATGTCAGTCATAATTTCATGTCCCGATATACCCTGCCATTCAAAAACATTAACTCAGCCAGAAAACCACCCAACACCTTTTGTTGCCTGTCTATGGTGAGGAAAAACTTGGGTTCTTGAACATGTATGTTTATCAATAAAAGTTCTAACTTGAAACATTTCGCAATCTTTTATCCTCTTTGCAGTCATACGCCACGTACAGTTTTTGTCAATCATACACCTTGTTTCGAAACGATCTTTGCTTGATTTGTTAACTTTTAGTTGATAGCCATCTTCCACACATTTCGTATACAAAGCTATCTTCAAGTCTTCCTTTGTATCAAAACAATCATCTTTCTTGATACGAATAACTTTTGTGTAACAATCAACTGCTTTCTTTACCAACTCTTCCGATATCTGAAGTAATTCTGGCATATTCCAGTTACTCCCGTGGCATTTCTTTTCTTCGGGGACTTTTTCTTCTCTTTTTCTTCTTCAGGATTATATGAATTATAGAATGGATGTTCAACATGTTCATTCACAGTCGTAACTTCCTCCTCATTATCATCAATAACATCTTCCTCGGCAACGGCTGTTTCATCATCAAAATTCGGGTATTGACCAATATCAAAATCATTACACGCAAGGTTTGTTTCTTCTTCTGAAACATCATCAAAATCCGAGTATTGACCAATATCAAAGTCCGGGTATTGACCAAGATCAAATTTCGAATACTGACTAGTACTCACAATTTTTTCTGTTGGCTCATCATCGTCTAACTGGTCAATACGAAAACCGGAATTTGGTGCTGAAAGTTGATTGGGATTTGGATTAGAGAAAGGTTGTGGGTTTTGAGAAAAACTTAGTTGATTACTACCTGCTACTGGCCCAACAATACTACTTCTAGGTTTAACAACATACAATGTAACATCATCACTTGAAACACTAATGTAAGCAATGAATCGTTCAACATCTTCATTGTCGGTTAACAAATAAACTTTACCATTTCTCTGATAAGATAGCCTAAATCCACTTAGGGGCTCTAAATTCAATTTCTTTGAAACACGTAACATTAGAGTTTCATAAGTTAACTTTTTTAATGATAGTTTTAGTTGAAGATTCATGGGTAAAGGCGTATATTGTAAAACACCATGAACATCCTCCCATGACCCTCCAAAACACAAATCTATCCAAACATGATCAATATTAGATGATTTCATGGTTTTAAATTAATTTACTAAACAAATGAGCTGCGAAACTAAAACCTGTTGCCGGATGGGGAAGGATGTAGGAACAGATGTCGCCGGAGAGAGTGATAGATGGAGATGGAATGAGTTGCGATTTAGGGATTTAGGTTATGAGTTGTTGCTGCTGCGTAGATATATACTCAAAAAATTTGTGTTGTGAAACTAAAACCTGTTGCGAACTTTGAAAATCGCATTGCGATTCTGTATTATCTCGTTGCGAAAGTCAGTATCGCGTTGCGATTTTGTATTATCGCGTTGCGATAGTCAGTATCGCATTGCGATTTTCCAAATTCGCATTGCGATTTACTTATTTGCATTACGAATTGGGAAAACCGCAACGCGAAATTGGAAAATCGCATTGCGATAGTCATAATCGCGTTGCGAATCTGGAAACTGATTTGCGATAATGGAGATCGCGTTGCGAATTAGCGATCGCATTGCGATTTTGTTGGTCATTTTGGCAAATCCGGAAAAAGTTGGTTAAAATCGTATATTATATGGGATTTTTGGTCACTAAGGTTATTTTCTCTAAGTTTAATCTGTTAGAGATAGGATGGGCCAGTGACTCTAATTTGACCGGTTCTAACCTAATCTAATCCGATCCGATACGATCCGATCCGATCAAATCAATTTTCTTTTTAGAAATTAAACTTGGGTCGGGTCGAGGCTTTTAAAGTTACGTTCGAGTCGGGTCGGATTCGTGTTTAGGGTGAAAATATATGACCCAATCCGACCCCAAAAAATTATAATTTTATCTTATATATTTAGAGATAATTGTAATAATACTCATTTGCATATTATTTTCTTTCAATTAAATCTCTATTTTTATTGAATAAAAATAATATTTTTTAATAAATATATTATTTCGGGCCGAGCAAGATCAGATTCGGATTTTATCTCAAAAAATTGGGTCAGATTCGGGTCGGATGAAATGTGTATATTTTACGAACTGGGTTCAAGTCGGATGGAGGATTTATAATTTCGGATTGAGTTAGATGGACCGAAAATCGAACCCGACTGACCCATGCCCATCCCTAGTTAGAGATATCATAAACTTTTGTCTTTTATGGCAAAACTGTGCAAGTTTCGCCATTAATTTGATCAATATAGGTTGGGTTGATTCAGATTTCGAATCGGGTTAAACTTCGATAATTTAAAATCGAGTCATTTCGAATTTGAATCATTTTCGAGTTAAATCTCTGGTTGCTACTATGCTAGCAGATGAATTTCTTGAACTGAATATTTTTTCATAGATCATACCATGAAGTTATAATTAAAATAGTAGTAAAGGTGTGAGGCCAGCAGGAATTAGGGTTTTGAGTTGTAATAAATCTTGTACTTTTTGACATCGTGAAATTTCTTCTTTGTTCGTGATTTTTTCTCTTTTGAATTTTTCATGTAAATCTTAATATCCTTTATTTTTCTGTTCGATTGTATCTGTTTACCGTTAATTATTCCGATATTATAACATCTTTTGAGGATGAGTGCTTCTAGTTAAATTAAGGAATCTTTTATCCTAAACAATGCCAAGTTGTCCATTTGATTTCAGCTTCCATATCTGACAGATACCCATAAAACCAAGCAAAGCATCAGTATTTTGCTTAAATTATCAGATTATTATTGTTTAGCCCCAGATTTTGCATGGGATTTTACAGTCCCATCCAACAAAGATAAAGATAAGCCTCACTGCACAATTGTACACTTTGGGGACCTTTTTGTAACACATGGAAAAAGAAGATGGTATAGAGGAAACAAGGGACAGCTTCTTTAATTTTTCTTGTCTTTCTGTTACATGAATCTTCTCCCGTTTGGTGCTGTTAAAAACCAAACATACCTGCAAACAAAACGATTGTCTTTCCTTAACTGTATATTAAGGCTGCCGCACGTGAGACTTCCCCTCTGATCAACAGCAACAAAAACAGCATATTAAAGCTCAAGTTATTTGTTTCTTTAATGTTATGAGAGTTGACACATCACATAAAAGCATGTGCTTTGCCCTCAAGAACCCTTTAAACAGAACATAAACTCTAAATGTCCCCATAAGGTCAATGCCATCGACATTATGTTCGAATTCGGACTTACAAATGATTGTATGAACCAACCGAATCGATCGTAAATTCGATCTTTTTTTCAAAAAGGAAATGCATGAAAGAATCAAAACCCATTACCTAAATTTGGTGAAGAAAACCCTACATTTCCACATTAGGAACATGCATGTACACTCCATAGTCCCATTTGAATTACATTCAAAAACTGCAAAATAAAACACAGATGATGAAAGGGTTTCTTTTATATGACGTAATGACAATGATATGGAAAGAATAAGTACTGGATGACAGCAGAGTCACAAGAATAGCCTATATATATATATATATATATATATGTATGTATGTATATATCTTTCTTCCCATCTCCTTGGCTTCTTTCCCCTTGGAATGGTTGCACAGAATCTTCCTCTAACTTCTTTACCCCACTTGATCTTCGGTGTGTTAATCGTATGCATATTCGAATCGAGCACATGTAGGCTAGCATGACAGAGCTGGAAAGCCACTCAGTAGCACATGTAGGCTAAATTATTTTATACTTCCATTTAGTATATGATCCAACCAAGAAAATATACCAAATTATCAAAATTCGTTGAAGTATGGGAAGAAAGAAAAGAAAATTTATTATTCAAACTTCAGAGCCAACCAACTCTCCCTATTGATTTTACTGATATGTGGAAGCAAATATGTCCAATTATATACACCAAAAATGGATGATTAGCAAATTGGGGGGGGGGGGAATTTGGCGTTTTTGAATTTTTTTTTCAATTGAAATTTTGCTGGTCGGACCATGACCAAAACCCTTGCTGTTCATCGACTTCATTGAACATGTTGCAGAAGCTCACTTCTTGAACCACTTGGTCGGGTTTTAGGCATTGGAGGTGGTCTGGTCTTGATGAGCCATGGAGAAGTTGAGTCATGCTCGTTGGCCTCGGGAAAACTTGTTTACCGCTCGTCAATGGCGTTGTTGCTCTGCAGATATCTAAGTTGACGTCGCAACTGTTATCGCTCCACGAACCCTCGTTTTCCTTCTTGATGCTGATGATTTCATTCGAATCTCTGGTCTTCAAAGCCAACAACTACACAAGGGTAGCAAATTAATTTCTAAGAGTTGGTGCAGCATCAGTGATATAATATAACTTATATATATTTCTAAGAGTTGACGTAGCATTAGTGACATTTACCTCGGCATTAAGTTTGTTGTTCTGAGCTTGAAAGGCATCGTTATCGGCCTTGAGAGCATCAAACTGTTTCTTCAGGGCATCGTAATCTTTCTCCAATTGCTTGGTTTTCCACCTAGCCCGTCTGTTTTGGAACCAAATAGCAATCTGTCTAGGTTGCAGCCCCAAGGCCTTGGCCAGCTGAACTTTCCTCTCGGGTTCGAGCTTGTTGCCCAACTCGAAACTTTTTTCCAGTGCCTTGACCTGTTCTATATTGAGTCTCTTCTTCTTCTCCCCTAGATGTGATCCATCATCGGACAGCTCATCGTCTCCGTGCACTTCCTCCGACTTGTCCACACCCGAGAACGACATCGATCTTTTCATCACAAACGCCGCACCACCACCGCCGCCGCCGCCGCCTATAGATCCAAATTCCAAACAAGAAACAACATAAACACACAAAAATGATAAAGAAAGGGAGAAAGATATATACATATATACATATATATATATGTACCATTGAAGAGGTGAGGAGGGCAAGAGGGGAGGTAATTGAGGGAAGTAGGGGAAGGGAGATGGTCATTGTGGTGATCTTCATGGGGTTGGAACATGAAAGCATGAGGGGGGAAAGCCATTAGAGAGGATGAAGATTGATCAATGATTAATCATGAGAAGGCTAAAGGAAGGGATTATAAGGAGTACGCTCTCAAATGAGTGAATCAAACGAAGAAGAAGACATGGGAGGCAAGGGGGCGGTGATGGATGGGGTTTCAGAGAGACTGAATGACTGCGACTTTTAGGTTGGGTTCAGATTTTATCTTAAAAAGTCGGATGAAGTCACCCCTAAACTCGGATCGAATCAAATTTCAGGTGGAGTGTATATATTTTCAGTTTGGGTTGATCGAAAACCTAACCCGACCCATACTCACCCCTAAACTCATCCATGTGAATAAGTGCTTAGATACTTCTTTTTATTAGGGGTGTTCATAATTCAATTAAAGTTGAATTAACCAACAGAATTTAAATTTTGGTCGGTTAATTTTGAGTTTGATCGGTTAACGTTTAATATTTTTTAAACTTTGATTATCGATTAATTCGGTTCGAAATCGATTAATTAACTGAATTAACCGAAATTATTATATATTTAGTGTGTGTATATATATTAGTTTTAGGGGTGTTTAAATTTCAGTTTTAACTGAATTAGTTGACCAAATTAACCGAATAAGCCAAAAAATATTATATATATAATATATATTATTTATATATTATTTATAAATTTCGGTTAATTATATTAACCGACCAATTAATCGAATTTAATTCAATTCGATTAAATTTCTTTTGAAAAAATTTGATTCACTTATAAGTTAAAGGGAAAAAAATTGTTTAATGAATTATGGATAATTCGATTCGATCAGTTAATCCAATTATCAGATTCAACGCTCCTACTTATTGTTTGAAAAATAAAGAGAAAAAAGTTGGACAAATTTGTTGTTTCACTGGCCACGTGTGATGAGGAAACTTGGGCAACAAGAAAAGTGGAGAATCCAAGGAGAGAAAATAATTAAAAATGTGCATTTATATTAGGTGTCATGTCCCCCAAACATTCATCTATGGTGGAAACGTTTGTCTAATTTTACTTGTAAAATGCTGGGAATTTTGGTTAAATAATAATATTAATTATTGGATTAATGTCAAACCAAAGTGATTAAATTAATGTAACTCATAACAATCATGATTCTTTCTGATAAGACTTTGATGAAATATCTCAACATGATCAACATGAACATCAACATCATGCTTCACACGAGTATCGACCTTCCATTGATCTTCATAAAGTAGATATGTTTGATCATTTTTCACATGTATAAGTATGTACATTTCAAAATATCTTCTGATAACTCTTCGTGTAACATAATATTATCATATATGTTTTGATATTAGGTGTGATCATACTAACACTAATATATCGGATCCCATCAGAATTACACTCCTCATTTTAAACCCTTCATTTTAAAGGTAATTTCATTCTTCTTTTCAATAGTAAAAGAATTCAACATGGTCGGTTGATTGGAAGTCCCAGGACTATCCTGTTTTCGTGGACAATATCAGTTAATTATGGAGAAGAAAAACATGGGGAGGCGAAGGGTCGTGGCACAAACAAAGGCTCCAGTGCAAGGGTGGTCTCAGTCTCGGCAAACATGGCCGGTTGATCGGAAGTCCCAGGACTATCATGTTTTCATGGACAATATCAGTAAGAGGATCCATCATTCAACACTGAAGGAAGCTTTCTCCGTCTATGGCGAAGTAATAGATGTTTTCATAGCATACAATAAAAGGTATGGAAAAAAGACAACCTTTGCCCTTGTGAGATATAAGAAATTGACTGCAGCTAATCGTGCAATAGAAATGGGAGATGGGAGACTGATGGACGGTCATTTCATCAGGGTGTTTAAGGAAAAAAGCTTTCAGACCAAACCTACGTAGAGTGCAGTAAAAACAAAGCAGGTCTGGGTAAATCGCAAGGCTTTGAGGGACTCTAGGTCTTTCAAAGAAGCTCTTCTTGGCTGCAGCACTCCAGGGTGTGCAGCGCCTGCTGTTCTACTAGAGAAGATAAGACGGTGCATGTCAAGCTCGTTGAAGGAATGGAATGATCCTTATAAGAGCAGACCCGATTTGCATTTTAAATTCTGACATGGATTGGAGGAATCTCTGCCTTGTTGGAAGGATCAAAGGCATGTATAATCCGGATTTAGTTCAGGAAGTGTTCATATCCGAAGGCTTTAATGTCAAAGTCAGCCCTTGGCATGGACTATTAATGTCAAAGGAGTTTATGAAGGTCTTATACACTTGTAAAGCGAGAATGGTCCTATTACAGGAATCGAAACTTACTTCAGTAAAACCAAGTCTCATAAAGCGTCTTAAAGGCAAGGCTTTTGATGAGCTCGCTTATGAGCCTTCCACAGAGGCGTCTGGAGGTCTAATCTTGTTATGGGACTCAAGCTTTTTCAAATTGGAGCGAATGACTCATAATCCCAGATTCTTGGCGGTGGAGGGCCTTCTACCTCTCTGGAACTTAAGTACTGTGGTGATCAATGTGTATGCCCCTAATGGTTGGCGATTTGACCAAACTGAGATTATTTAACTGAATATTTACCTTTTTCACACCAGTTGATATATATTTCTCGAAGTGGCACCCTTTCGGTTGAGCTGGCGAAAGGTGCGTCCCTGGGGACGCGCTTTACCCGTGTTTTCGCTGAGTTGGATGCCACGTGTGGAAGGCGCATCCCCGGGGACGCTCCTTCACTGCCACGCTGGTATTTTGTTTAATAATAAATATTTTATTTTTATTATTATTATAAATTAGTAATATATTATGTAAAGTGTTTCGATTATAATGTAAGAATTATAAAATGTATTTTGTTAATGTGTGTTAAAGGTGGAGTGAATTATCTACATTAATATGATAGAACAATATATGAAAACCAGTTTTGATTTTATTGTAGTTATAGGAAAAATGTATGAAATTATAATATTATACATATGGTTATATTATTATTTTTGATTTTGATTATCGATCTATTAATTTTATCAGTTAATTATTTAAATGTTATCAATCTAGTCATCTCTTATCAATATTTAACGAAAATATTGATGCATAAGTTAATAAATTAGTATAATTACATATTTAATCTTCAAGACTTACATATTTTATGAAATTAGTCTTATTGAAAATTTAATTTAATAAATTTAATCCTCCAATCAGAACATGAAATGTGTCATCGTATACATAAATTTTTTAATAACTTTTAATTTGTTTAATTTAATATTTTTCTCTACTTAGAAAGTGGAATTATTATTATATTTTAAAAAAAATTATATCTAATAATATTAATTATTATATTAAATAAATATATTGAAAATATTTATGTATTTAAAAGTTAAAAAAATTATTTAGGTGTACATACATTGACAAATTATATAAATGCAATAACATTAAATTATTAGAAACAAAAACATTCATTTAAATACAATATTAATTACATAAGAGTTAACAGTTATATAATGATAACAGAGCTGGACATTTTTTTCTATTGTGCCCGATGTTTCTACAATGCCCACATCGTTTTTGTTCTGTTGACTTCTCCCGAATATCTATATCACAATGTATTCTAGTAGATTTTGGACGACCTGAGTCCCTCAATAGCAATGGATCTGGTACAATTGTAAGCCAAGTTTGAATCTCATTTGGGTCTCTTTCGTTTTCTATGGGCGGAAACTCAAATTCATATACCTTGAATACTTGTGAAAGTTGGTATACGGGATCAACATAATTTTTGTAGTCTAAATGCGAATGTGAGCAAGCTGCAATGACATGAGAGCATGGATATTTGAATGCTTGAAAGAAACCACAATCGCACCACCTCTCTTACAGATTAATTCTGAAAGAGTTAGCTCTAATCCCTTACAGCGGACGTGGCATTTCGGTTACACAAAACAATTCACGGGTGCGAGAAAAATTTGTAACTAACATCCCATTTGATGCAGCCACTTTTTTCTGTAGGGGAGGAGGAGGGGTAGTTAGGGAAAATGGATGGGGGCATTTATGGCATTTAATGGAACACGTGGCAGTCGAGTCATCAGAATCCCGTGAAGGCGGGTCCCCGGGGATGCGCCTTCCACACGTGGCATCTAACTCAGCGAAAACACGGGTAAAGCGCGTCTCCGGAGACGCGCCTTTCGCCAGCTCAGTCGAAAGGGTGCCACTTCGGGAAATATATATCAAATGGTGCTAAAAAGGTAAATATTCGATCAGTTTGGTCAAATCACCCTAATGGTTACAATGTTATGAAAGAGTTCTTTAATCTGCTAAGTGTTTTCTTGAGTAGTGTCAACCGACCCATGATTCTCGGGGGTGACTTCAACTCTATTAAAGCAGCATCTGAAAATTTTGGAGTAGCCCCAAATCCAGCCTCAATGGTATTCTTCTCAGATTTCATACAGCAGTGGCATCTGATAGACCTACCACTCTCTAGGAGCAATTCCACTTGGTTTAGAAGTGGCCCCTCTCCCACAGCAAGCAGATTAGATCGTTTCCTCATTTCACCGGAGGTCATGTTAAAAATCCCAAATCTATTTCAATCTTCTATTTCACGTGGGTTGTCAGATCATAATCCGGTTATTCTAAAATCCTCCAAGTTGAAGCGAAAAGCCAGCATATTTAAATGGTTCCCGTATCTTGCCGATGATCAAGGTTACACAGATTTGGAAAAAGAATTAGTGCAAATTGCAGTGGTGAAGGGATTGGTAAATTCTTGGTAGAAATGAAAAAAGAAACAAAACTCTGGGTATATTAATGAAGTGATCGGGGATAACCAATTTGCCTTTGTGGCCGGGAAACAGATTACAGATTGTTCCCTCATAGCGAATGAACTCATTGACGACCTCAAGCGTAGGAAAAGAGAAGCATTGATTTTTAAAGCCGACTTCAGCAAAGCTTTTGTCTCCGTAGACTGGGGTTTCTTGGATTTCATCATGAAGAAGATGAGGTTCGGTAATAGATGGCGTTCTTGGATCAAAACTTGCATTTTGACTGCGTCAATCTCTGTCCTCGTTAATGGTTCTCCATCTCGCAGCTTTAACATCAAAAAAGGACTTCGACAAGGTCGTCCTCTGTCTCCTCATCTTTTCAATTTAGTGGGCGAAGCTTTAAGTTGGCTGCCAAATAAAGCATCCGATGTTGGTCTGATTAATGGCGTTTCGATTGGTTCCTCTAACTTGAGGATTTTCCAACTTCGATTAGCGAAGGATTTAATTATTTTTTTTCTGAAGCAAATCTGGATATGGCCATGAACATCAAGCGTCTTTTGAGAATTTTTGAATTAGCCTCTGGGCTGAAGCTAAATCTATTGAAGTCGAAGTTGTTGGGCATTGGCGTGAAAGAAAAAAAAAAGTTCAAGATTGGACAAGAACCTTGAATTGCTCTTTTGACTCTTTCCCTACGACCTATCTTACAAAGATTTCAGTTTCCCACTCACCAATCTCCTTCGATTTTCCTCTGCATTCCCAGTTATTCTTCTTCTTTTTCCCCCAGAAAAAGAGAGAGAGAAAATTCGATATTTACACTGTTTTTTCTGATCCAAATCCCAAGATCTTTGCAACCCAATTCTTGTTTTCACCTGATAAATCCAAATTCTCATCTGGGTAATCTCCACTTTCATCATTTTCCCTATAAATGTAGAGGAAAGTTTCAATTTTTCCTCCTTCCCCGTAGTTGCATCATAAACATTTTCTCTTCATCCAATCAAATTCCCAGAATTTTTCCTTTGGTTCTTTTGTTGTTGATGATAGTAGGGTGTGCAAGTTCGAGGCCAAAACGATGCTGGCATTGTCATGCACCATATTCACCGGTTCCGAAGAGCTACAAGATGCAAATTCATCATCCCGCACAACATAGAGGATACAGCTACCATCTCGTGGCATTAACATCAACAACATTGGGTAATAAATCAAGGAAAAAAGAAAAGGGTTATCTGTTCTTGAAGCTGGAGCTTGGTCCTAATTGATGGAAGAAAAAATCCCAAAAGTTTTCCCCAAAACTCCCATTACAACTGCCCTTGGAGAGCCCGAAATGATCAACACCTGGGAATTAATGGCAGGCCTTGAAGAAGACGATGTTCATAGAAAGAATTCAGTGTCTCCAAAGCCTTTGTGGGTTCAATTTGAAGATGATGATGAAGAATCAGGGTCTGTGATCACAGATTTCGATCCCGAATTCATTTCGAGCATTCGGAAAGCACTCGAAAACCTTCCTCCTACCAACCCTTTCCATCTCAAGCCTTCCGTGATCGAAAAGGTTCATTTGAAGCTCAATAAGGATAAGGTCATTCTGAATTCTACAACCTTGAGGGCCGTTTGGTTCACGGCATTCTTAATTACCCGGAGAATGAAATTCTCATCGTTTGGTTGACCGGTAATCTTATTCTTTATAATCTTTTATTACCAACAATAGATTTTTGGGATATATTATCAGGAATGTAATTACCCATTCCCTTAGGTATTGTTATATTATCGGCGTTTTGGACTAAAATGTCCTTAATTTTTTTTCAAAATTTTTCTTCTTCTGTCGTTGAATAATAAAAACTCTACGAAGGTTAAATTACAAATTTATCCTTAAACTATTTTAGATTTACAAAAAAAATCCATAATTAGAATTTTATATGAAGTTCAAGGGTTAAAATAAAATTTTACACTTTCATTAAACCTATTTATCTTTTTAATTTTGTAAAAAAATTATATAAATTTTATGAATTTAAATTTTTAAAGAAAATATATAAATTAATTATAGTAATATTATAATAGAATTCAACTTGTTAAAAAAGAAATATATAATAAGGGCAATTTAGTAAAATATACATTTCAATAATCTTTTATTCTTTTAACCAAACACGGTAATCTTACATTCCTACTAAACCATCCAAACACAA